GCGTTTGCAAGTTATAACAATACTGGTTCTACTCGAACCTTTAAACAAATGTTTAAATTAAAATGGTTTATTCGCAATAATAATACTTAAGCAAGTAACAATATGAGAGTTCAATAGCAGAGTAGATAGTTTGTAATAGCAGGTTGCCAAATTACCAAACTGTCTTCCAATGTTGAGGAGTAGATGGATGGTTCCAGTGGAGGTTGTTTCCAGATGATTTTCCCAGGTCCTTGGGTCCAGATGGAAGCTGCATGCCAAATGACAATAGTGAGGATTTATATACTTTGAGGTTTGTCTCTGACATCCAATCATCACTTTACAGTTGCCAAAATGTGTAGTTCATATTTATCTTTAGTAACAGGATGTTACAAGGTTCAACATTTAGGAAGGTTAATTGAATTATAACTTGGCCACACCCTAGGCAAGTTAATTAAATTATAACTTGGCCAAACCTTTATTGGTAATTAAAGATGAACCTTCAAGCTGACTAATCAGACTTATGTTTGGCCAATGTTATAGCATTTTCTTGCATAGGTTTTAAGATGTACATGTATATGTTGCATAAAATAATAGAGTTCAAGCATGTAAAATATAACCAAAGTTGTACAATAAATCTTTTTACAGAATTCAAGTATCTCTTATAGTTTGAGAGCTACATTTACTTAATATTTAATGCATATTCCTTATATAATTCATTATAATAATTAATGTTTTTTAAATGACAAATACTTAATTAATGTACCGAATGTCTTTCTAATTGTACAAATTTTTTTCTGACAATAATTATAGTTCAAATTTGATCAAAATCGGCCCAGTAGTTGCTGAGATATGCATTCTTTTGAATGTTGTACTTTAACACTGTTACAGGCTAATATAGATAAAAAAATATTCGTCATAAAAAAATTAAATTTGTTAATATTTAAGATAGAGCTTTCAAATTTGGTACATAAGCTAATATTCTTACGCCAATCTCAAATCTTTTCACAGAATTCAATTATCTCTTATGGTTTCCTAGCTAGGTTACCTTGAAGTTTAGTAGCATCTTCCTTATATAATTCATTATATAAATTTTTTTTTTTAAATGGAAAATATTGTCTTTGTGTAACTAATATATTTCTAATTATCCATGTCTTCTTCTGCCAATAATTTTACTTCAAATTTGATCAAAATTGGTCCAGTAGTTGCTAAGATATGCATTCCTATGAATGTTATATATAAACTCTGTTTTTAATGTTGAAATATTCATCATCAAAAACTAAACTTCTTACTAATAATCACGGAGTATTCAAATTTTGTACATAGACTAATATTGATATGCCAATTTCAAATCTTTTTACAGATTTTAATTATCTCTTATAGTTTTTGAGTTATGGTGCGTTAAAAAAAAATAATACATTTTTCTTATATAATTCATTATAATAATTAATATTTTTTAAATGACATATACTTAATTAATGTATGAAATTGTTGTAAACTTTGATTTTGGTGTGTTTTTTCTTTGACTGCTAACTTTCTACTACCTAGAGTTGAAAGTACATTTAGGATTGCAAAATTCAAATTCATAGACTTCATATTCAAAGAATATAAAAAAGAACAAACTTGTCTCTTGAAACTTCTGAAGCAGTTTTTGAAACAATTATATAGACAATAACTTTATCATTATTTTTCATTTCATATGTTTTTAATTCTAGATTATAGAGATTTATTTGTTTTTCATTTTTATATACCTTTTTCTTTTTAAATAAAACAACTTTTTAAAACAAATATTAAAACTTTTCTTTCAATTAACTTTTACAATTTTGATTCATTGTAATTTAATATGGTCTCATTCTGTCATTAATTTTACTTCAAATTTGATCAAAATCATTGAAGTAGTTGCTGAGATATGGATTCCTATGAATGTTATATTAAAACTCTGCTTGTAACATTAAAATATTCGTCATCAAAAACCTAAATTACTTATTAATTATCATAGAGCTTTCAAATTTTGCACATAAACCAATATGGATATGCTGATTGCAAATCTTTTAACAGAATTCAAATATCTCCTATAGTTTGGGAGCTATGGTGCGTTAAATTTTAATGCAGTTTCCTTATATAATTCAGTATTCTAATTAATATTTTTTAAATGAGAAATACTTAATAAATGTACCAATGGTCTTTCTAATTGTACATACTTTTTTCTGACAATAATTTTGGTGAAAATTTCATGAAAATTGGCCAAGTAGTTGCTGAGATATGGATTCTAAGGAACACTACATATATACTCTGTTGTAAGCCTTAAAATATTCGTCAGAAAAAAACTAGATTTATTATTAATTATGATAGAGCTTTGAATTTTGTACATATACTAATATTGACTTCCTTATCTCAAATATTTTTACTGAATTTAATTATCCTTTTTATTTTTCAACCTAGCTTGCCTTGAAGTTTAGTGCATTTTCCTTCTAAAATTCATTATAAAAATTATTATGTTTTAAATAGGATATATTGAATTGATATAATGAATATATTTCTAAACAGTAATTTCAATTTTCTATTGCATTGAACTATTATAGTAAGTTCTCATACACAGACTTTGTTAGATTATCAGTTTTCTCACAGTTTACTAATTTCATGCTGTCACATATCTGTTAGCATTATATAATTTTATCTAACCTGGATTAGCTTGTGGCATGTTCCCACAGGATTTTCCATGTGTCTTATATATAAAGTGAATATGTTTTCACAGAAATCATTTATAGTTTGAAGATTAAGGAGTCAGCATCACATTAAAAATAGCTGGTCTTATGAACAACTTCTACAATTCCTTTCAAAATATACATCCTTCAATGATAGAATGGTATTTAGATATGTCATTAAACAGGAAAGTGTGTTATATATATTTTAAATGTTTTATTCACACTGTTCATATTTAGTTTGAAGAAGGAGTCAAAATCACATTTAAAATACCCAATTAAATGAACATCCCCTACAATTGCTGATGATATTAAAATGGTATGTACAAATTCTGATATACAGTATCATAATACATAGCACTTTCAATATGATATATATTAAAAAAAGACCTGAAGAAGTGAATTCCCTATTGGAATCCTTCAACCTCTCTGTAGGTGTAGGTTAATAGACCCTGATGAGTCCTTGGTCATAAAAATAGAGAGGAGGACGAAACCGTGGTAGGTCAAGTAGGTAGGAAAAAAATTTAAGAAAAATATTTTTGAAAATTTTTTGAAAAAATTTTTTCTGTTGGAAATTGTTTTAAATGTCGATTTTGGTGTATTTTTTCTTTGACTGCTTCTCAAAATCAACTGGGACTCTTGAAATGTGAGAATCCTGTTTCTCTTTTTTGATTTAGTCAAAAAAAAAAACCCTTTGCAAACCCTAGTAACCAAAGAACATTATTAGGTATATCTTTTCACCAAAACTTATATAAGCCCAAACTACATCTTCATACCAAAAATCAACTTAAAAAAGCTATTAGAAGTTGGAGTTTTATTCTCTATAGAATGATAGTATTTTTTTTTAAACGTTTTTAAAAAACAACAGCCAAACTAAAAACATTTTTAGGTCATTTTTTACAGATCTATAATCAGCAAACAAAACTGAATATTTCCATAACTTATGAACTCAAAATTTTTTTGGGGACCCCTGTGTAACCCTAACCAAATCCACAATTTTGGAAATCAATGTCTGTCAACTTTGTACAATTTGTTTTAATATTTTCAAAAATACTTTTTCCAACTTCAGTTCCAATTGGATTGTTGCTTAAAGACAGCCACATTAGTAGAGTTTGTTTACCAATTGCATCTCCAACAATAGGACCAATGCCTGATTCAAATCCACAATTTTGGAAATCAATGTGTGTCAACTTTGTACAATTTGTTTTAATATTTTCAAAAATACTTTTTCCAACTTCAGTTCCAATTGCATTGTTGCTTAAAGACAGCCACGTTAGTAGAGTTTGTTTACCAATTGCATCTGCAACAACATGACCAATTCCTGATTCAAATCCACAATTTTTGAAATCAATGACTGTCAACTGTGTGCAATTTGTTTTAATATTTTCAAAAATACTTTTTCCAACTTCAGTTCCAATTGCATTGTTGCTTAAAGACAGCCACGTTAGTAGAGTTTGTTTACCAATTGCATTTCCAACAACATGACCAATTCCTGATTCAAATCCACAATTTTGGAAATCAATGTGTGTCAACTTTGTACAATTTGTTTTAATATTTTCAAAAATACTTTTTCCAACTTCAGTTCCAATTGGATTGTCCCTTAAAGACAGCCAAGTTAGTAGAGTTTGTTTACCAATTGCATTTCCAACAACATGACCAATTCCTGATTCAAATCCACAATTTTGGAAATCAATGTGTGTCAACTTTGTACAATTTGTTTTAATATTTTCAAAAATACTTTTTCCAACTTCAGTTCCAATTACATTGTTGCTTAAAGACAGCCACGTTAGTAGAGTTTGTTTACCAATTGCATCTGCAACAACATGACCAATTCCTGATTCAAATCCACAATTTTGGAAATCAATGACTGTCAACTGTGTGCAATTTGTTTTAATATTTTCAAAAATACTTTTTCCAACTTCAGTTCCAATTGCATTGTTGCTTAACAGAAGTTTTGTCAGTAGAGTTTGTTTACCAATTGCATCTCCCACAACAGGACCAATTCCTGATTCAAATCCACAATTTTTGAAATCAATGACTGTCAACTTTGTGCAATTTGTTTTAATATTTTCAAAAATACTTTTTCCAACTTCAGTTCCAATTGGATTGTTGGTTAAAGACAGCCACATTAGTAGAGTTTGTTTACCAATTGCATCTCCAACAACAGGACCAATTCCTGATTCAAATCCACAATTTTGGAAATCAATGACTGTCAACTTTGTACAATTTGTTTTAATATTTTCAAAAATACTTTTTCCAACTTCAGTTCCAATTGGATTGTTCCTTAAAAGAAGTTTTGTCAGTAGAGTTTGTTTACCAATTGCATCTCCCATAACAGGACCAATTCCTGATTCAAATCCACAATTTTGGAAATCAATGTGTGTCAACTTTGTACAATTTGTTTTAATATTTTCAAAAATACTTTTTCCAACTTCAGTTCCAATTGGATTGTTCCTTAAAAGAAGTTTTGTCAGTAGAGTTTGTTTACCAATTGCATTTCCAACAACAGGACCAATTCCTGATACAAATCCACAATTTTGGAAATCAATGACTGTCAACTGTGTGCAATTTGTTTTAATATTTTCAAAAATACTTTTTCCAACTTCAGTTCCAATTGCATTGTTGCTTAACAGAAGTTTTGTCAGTAGAGTTTGTTTACCAATTGCATCTCCCACAACAGGACCAATTCCTGATTCAAATCCACAATTTTTGAAATCAATGACTGTCAACTTTGTGCAATTTGTTTTAATATTTTCAAAAATACTTTTTCCAACTTCAGTTCCAATTGGATTGTCTGTTAAAGACAGCCAAGTTAGTAGAGTTTGTTTACCAATTGCATTTGCAACAACATGACCAATTCCTGATTCAAATCCACAATTTTGGAAATCAATGTCTGTCAACTGTGTGCAATTTGTTTTAATATTTTCAAAAATACTTTTTCCAACTTCAGTTCCAATTGGATTGTCACTTAAAAATAGTTCAGTTAGTAGAGTTTGTTTACCAATTGCATTTCCAACAACAGGACCAATTCCTGATTCAAATCCACAATTTTGGAAATCAATGTGTGTCAACTTTGTACAATTTGTTTTAATATTTTCAAAAATACTTTTTCCAACTTCAGTTCCAATTGGATTGTCCCTTAAAGACAGCCAGTTAGTAGAGTTTGTTTACCAATTGCATCTCCAACAACATGACCAATTCCTGATTCAAATCCACAATTTTGGAAATCAATGTCTGTCAACTTTGTGCAATTTGTTTTAATATTTTCAAAAATACTTTTTCCAACTTCAGTTCCAATTGGATTGTTGCTTAAAGATAGTAGTCAGTAGAGTTTGTTTACCAATTGCATCTCCAACAACATCACCAATTCCTGATTTAAATCCACAATTTTGGAAATCAATGCTGTCAACTTTGTGCAATTTGTTTTAATATTTTCAAAAATACTTTTTCCAACTTCAGTTCCAATTGGATTGTCACTTAAAAATAGTTCAGTTAGTAGAGTTTGTTTACCAATTGCATCTCCAACAACATCACCAATTCTGATTTAAATCCACAATTGCTTAAATCAAGTGCTGTCAACTTTGTGCAATTTGTTTTAATATTTTCAAAAATACTTTTTCCAACTTCAGTTCCAATTGGATTGTTGCTTAAAAATAGTTTTGTCAGTAGAGTTTGT